TGGAGGAGAAGGGAGTTGGTCCCCGGGAGGGGGCTGCTGAGGCGGCCAGCGCTGGCAGGGTCGGGGAAGTGTGCGAAAGAGTTCCCGTGACCCTGCCGATATGCGCCTAGGTGTAACATGTAGCACTGGAGGAGTGCTCAGCCGCGCCGGGGGCACGACCTCTCGCTACCAGCCGTGGTTCGCGCTATGGTTTTGTCGGTGCGAGGCCGACATAACCCGCTCTTGCCCCCGCGAGGGCGGATATGCGTAGGCATTTCCCCCACGTCAACAAAAAAAAAGGGGTGAACCTACAGGGTAGTGGAATACTTAATGACCATTTCAGCTACGGCAATCCACTGTATGAATTATAGCCAACAATGTTTTGCTAGGGTGTTTATTTTATTTATGTATTTAAATTTACTATCTAAATAATTGTCCAAATGTACTGTAACTGTCATTGAGCACAAAAGATATACCCCCTCTCGTTCATTTGCTAAATTCAGCCTCAAAGACTCATTGAATTTGTGTTCGCACCGTTGTGGCTCTTAGCATCCAGAATGTTCGCATAATGTCTATGCCATCGATCAAAATAAGGCCAATTTGTTTACGGGTGACCCCATCAGTCAAAAACCCGGAAGTTTTGTGTTTTTTATGTGTGAAACAAACTACCGATAACCATACTGTGAGACAAGAAAGGTCCAAAAGTCGACTTTGTAGTATTTTGTTGGACAATATAGGTCTTCCATTTTAGCATTTACATCACCTATAATTATTTAATCGTCTCCTTTAGGTGATATAGCATATGTCATTTCCACTTCACAACACACCTCTTCGGGGTCAGTTTCTCTATTGCTGCATCTACGATAATGGATGCGCAATAGTCATATACTTTAGTAATCTAATTATGCACATACGCGCACTGGTTGGCTAAAAAAATCAATAAAAAGGCGATTGAGTCACTTGCTCACTATATGAAACCGTTTCAAATACATGGTGGTTTGGTGACAACGATATAAATTGTATTCCCTTTTTAATCACATCTTTTACCGTCCATCTTATCTCCTGTAGAGCTGTGATATCGGTTCTGCGCTACGTCAGTTGTTGGCATAGGACCTGGAAAACTGCAAATCTATAAAGAAGTCGAATCCTCTTTTGAAGTCGGTTGAAAAAATTACCTTAATTGGAAGATTTAACATAATTTGGAACAGTTTTCGTTGAGTCAAGAGAATGGCAGCTGTAGTTGGACAATGACAGAATTGTGGCCACGACGAGGTCTTCTAGTAATCAGCTTAGTTTCACTATTTAATTTTAAATTTTCAGTTCTAGTCTCTGCACTTAAGATGAAACTTAAAAATGCATATACAAAACTATTGCAATACTATGCTGCCAGGATTCGAACTTGGGCCTTCCGGATTACGTGACCAGACGCTCTAACCGTTAACTGTATTTGGGTCACGCAAATCTTCGCTGTTTGCACGAATGGACTACGACTTATCACAACTTAACAGAAGACCGGCGTGAAGTGAAATTTTTCACTCACTTTATTAAAAGTTGGCAACACTTCTACATCCCTACGGGTGTTTCAAATGTCCATAGGCGGCGGTTATCACATAACACCAGGTGAACCGTCAGCCTACTAGCCACCTTCTTAGATAAAAAAAAATGTAAATAGGAGTATCAAGATCGTTGCCGACATTGTATGCTATGACGCCAAAAATGTGAACGCTAGTGTTCTACAAGGCTGCGCGTTATCCACAGTCCTATACCTTCTGCACATCAATGATTTACTGGATATAACAGCATTAATTGTTTGATCATAGTTGATGTATATATAATCCGCCTTGCCAATATTTTCGCATTGTGGCATTCTATTCGCGCTCCCGCAAACATCATTGACACACTACAGAAGCGCGACGACCTCGTCAACATACTGAACTCGTTATTATAATATATACTCGAGTAAAAATACAGGAAACCTATGTTTAGAAGTGGACTCTAACAGTCTGAAATGATGATGGTGAAAGAGTGCTTACTTTTCCCATTAGTTATCAATTAGTTCTTATGTTTCTTTAAAAAAATCATTTTCCCTACTTTAGAATAACATTATCCTGTGTTGTATGAACGTTTTTCAAACATAAATTTCATGCAGACAAACACCCAGATGCGAAACAACTATCCCACACGGGACAATGAACAATTGTCCTCCAACCCACGAACCCCAACGCCGAAGCCGATACCTTGGCGACTTTGCCACGGAGTCATCAAGACACACAAACCACACTTAGCAACACAGATGTATGATCCAAAAAAATATTTGCATTGAAATAGCATCCTCCGTTATAAATAACGTCGTTCGAATTAAAGTTTGTAAAATTTTGTTTAAATTAAGAAACTTTATGAAATAAAAATGAATGAAATGATAAAGTTAAATTTAAAAGTGAACTGATCAATCCCTAAAATTATATAGTAATCATCGTCAGAATATGGAAACTATGGACTAAAACAAGAGCAAAACATTCTTATTTATTGTTTCTTTTAGGTATAAACAATCGTATTGAATAATGAGTCTAGACAGATAAGAGCTATAATGCCAGTCCCGACCGATATTAGCGTTGAAGATTGACGATCGGAATAAATTGCGTTTTTAAAAGTCTAATTAATTAGAAACAGGTGATCGTTAAAAGTTTATAGACATTTACATTTTCTTCCCACTAGCTTTTGATGCATTTTAGCTTTTGCTAACTGCAATTATGGTTTAATATTTTTTAAGATATAATGAATTGTGCATTTAAGCTCTTATAGACTTGTTAAATAACTTACTTACTTATTATTTATTCTTAACAAAATAGGAGTTATTCATCGTTTACAGATAAAATACAGAAATAATATAATTTTCGTACGTTCAACTAAATTTAAGATTCGAAACGGTGCGAGACTGAAGCCTGAACTTATATAGAGGTTGTTTTTCGTTTTAATACTTACAGTTTATAAGTAATTTACGCAAGCTAACATTATGTTTGTATCTATAAATAACACCATGGCGGTGTGAGATAACTCTCGTGGCGCCTGCAGAGTCCCCAGGCGGCAAATTACTGTGACAGCGGTATTATTATGCAGATAGGTCAACCGGCGGCGAACTCGTTTCAGTTGGAGTCTCCGGGATTTAGTTCGAGGTAAGCAAACTTATTTCAGAAGGGTTTTCAATGTAATTATTTCTTCGACTTCTGAACTTCTTGAATTGCAAAATCCACCCTAAAGTGAAAATACGATAACTCTGTTCCTATCCTCGGCTATTATTTCTTTGGTTGAAGTTTGATTATTTAAAAGAATTACTGGATCACTATTGTCATTCGCCTATATAATGAATATAAATAAAAGAAAATCGTCTGTGTACAAACGTGTACATAAGTGTACGCACGTAAAAACTTAAACTTCTATAGCGTAACAAAAAAGTAACTAAAAATTTTGCAGTGCCTGTATAAAAAGAAATGGTATTGTGATAAAAAAAAATGTGTCTACATATTTTTTTTATCACAATACATGTGCATGTAAGCGGTTATACTTCTTTAGCCTAACAAAAGAAAAATAAAATAAGCCTTGGTACACTCAAGTCAATTTAAATAAATAGCTGCTAGTTCTTTAATTCGTTTGCGATTAGGTCACTGCTGTTCTCCGTCTTTTCTGTTTAAGATTCATGTTGTAGATACTTCTTTATGTGCTTGTGGAACGGAAGAAGGAAATTTGAACCATATTTTCCTTTCTTGTCCATTATATGACCGCTCGTCTCTTTTTACTGATCTCCTGTTGCTCCGGATACCTTTTCCTATTAATAAACCATTCATTTATTCAGAAAAATGCTATAAAACTATAGTATAATTTGGTTAATAGGTTTATAAATACGATATTAATAAAAATAAATTTTCTGTAATTAATAATACTTTATCACATTGTATGCAGCGTGTCTTTACCATCTCGACAATAAATGAACACACATATAGAGGATAACTTTTTAAAAGTGTATTAAAGATTTACATTCTTTAAACATCAATATTTAACGAGTTATCAAATTTTCCAAAACAAAGAATTTTAGAACACCCTTACGTATAAAACTTTAATGTAAAGTTCATTTGTAAAGGTGTTGAGTTGAATGAATTTAAAAGAGACAAAACATACTGTTAGAAGGAGAGGCTTACGGCGCTGTGGCAACGAATGAAAAAGTCTGTATATGTATGAATCAGTCAGATGCAGTTGTATAGGATGTTACAAATTTTGTTTCTTTTTTACTTAATTAGTTTGTTTGAAAAATATTTTTTTTTATTGTTTTTTTTTAACGTTAATATTTTTTTATGATTATTGGCAAGTAGTGTTAGACGTGTGTTCATTTATTGTCGCGGTGGTAAAGACACGCTGTATATGTATCGTAAATCTTCTCGATTATTTCCCTTTTTCCAAATTCCGCTTCCTACTCCTGTTGAAATAAATTTATTTCAACAAAACCACTGTTTCCTTCCTTTTACTTGTCATTGGCATAAAGGATAACAAAATGCCACAATCATAGAAAAAAAAAAAAGAAATATAACAAAAAAATATTCTCTGTTCTCCTGCTCTCTTCTCTGTGTACTCTTTGTCACTGAAAAAAAAGTATATTCAATTGATAACAGTTTAATTAAATAACTTGGAATAAAGGATAGACGTCAAAACGTTGTTATTGATCGCCATGGTAATACCGTGGAGCTAGTCAAAGTTGGCCGCTTTGCAACCAAGTTCATCATGTCTCTTTTTGGCTCTCGGTGTCTAGCGCGCATCGTAAAATTTTTCCAAAGAAGTATTCAGCGAGCCTGCATTCTCATAAAATGGAGGAAAAGAAAGGAAAGGAACAATTATACATGTCCCACTGAGTACCATGCGTGGAGCCACTAGTGGATATTAGGGCAGATTGGCAGAATTTACATACCTTCAAAATATTTCCTCTTTGTTATTATTTCGAAATTATACAGGTTTCCGCGCGATGCGTTTGGTCACGTGTGGTAGCGTTTGGTTTTTGGCCGGAATTTGAACTCAGGTAGCTCTAAAAGAGAGTTGAAAGAGAGCGGCTTGAAAGAGAGCGGCTTGAAAGAGAGCGGCTTGAGAGACTTGAAAGAGAGCGGCTGGACACTAAGCAATCGCGGCTCTAAGCCTGAAATTCGTAAACATATTATCATGTCTGTGCACCATAAAAGCTCTTAGAGTGCGATGAATGGAATACAACGCATCCCAAAGTCGTAACACCTTGAACCCGCGGCTCGGACGGGCGAGTTGCTCGCGTCGTGTTGAAACGGGGCGCGGCTCGGACGCCCGCAACCCGACGCCCCGGCCGACCGCGGAGGTAAAAAAGCGCTGACTTCCTGCTCGGGCTGGCCACCGATCGACTGCGCAATCTGATACGTCCAACGCGCCTTTCCGCGGTACCCGTTCGGATCGCGCGCAAACTCACCAGCTTTTGACCCGCGACCGTTCCAAATTTAATTTAGGTAAATCCTTTTTGCCGTTTCCTAAAGATCGAATTTCGTTGCCTCGGACTTAACAATTTTCGCACGTAACCTTATTTCGATATTTAAATATTTCAAGGTAAACTATAAATGTTTATCTTGAAATCGGAATATTTATTTTTCTTCCTGCTTATGATACCTATTCAAAATATCACCGCTTTATCGATATGTCTCCATTAATCTTTTTAAATTAAAAGAGTAATTAGTTTTCAATTATTTAATAAAACTTGGCTAACTTAATAACTAAACAACGGTCAAAAATATTACAATAAAAACATATAGTTTTAGCACATAACAATAATTTTGTAGAGAATTAATTCAGGAACTATATTAATAAATAAAAAAAATATTACAAATTTCTGCATTTTCTTTAAACATTCACATCAGCTTTAGTTACATTCAAACATAATTGAAATTTTATTTAAGTAACTCATAAGTTACGTACAGAAAGATTTTAAGATTAAAAATAATAATTCGATTTCTTCTTAATTTAGATTAATAAGTAAAAATTCTTAAACAGTTTTTTCAACATTTAATGTCTCTTAAAACATGGACAGAGCGTATATAACTTTTCTGTGCATTTACTAACGTCACCCCCTTGAATTGTCTCGTGTGCCGTGGAGACTGATTGATTTTAAATTTGAGTATCGTAACCGAGTCGGTGCGGTGTCTGGATGCAACGGCCGTTCCACGCGCTCGGCTAGAGGTCAAACTGCATCGGTGTGGTGAAATCCGGCGATGCAGCGCGCCGCTGTGTGGGTGAGCCGTGAGCGGCGGGCGCGGCGCAGCCTCCGCCGCGTCTGCGGCCCGTCTAGACGGTGCCCCCCCGCCCCGCACCCCAAGCCTCCCCCTTCGTCTTCTGGGCAGCCCCGACTACGCTGCACTTCTCGGGCGCTCCTTTCACTGCACCAGACCACCTGCTAACCACGACACTTCTGAAGAACCGAAGCCGCCGCAAAGGAAAGAGGATAAATCGCATCGAACTGCCCTTTCGATGAATGTGTTAACGTTTTGAATAGAAAACGCCGTTTTAGTTAATCTATTTACTTAAGTTGTTTTGGGTGCAGCAATGAAATTTGAACGCCCGGTGTGGTGTGATAACGTCCCGCGTGAAAACTCACTTCTTATTTCGCAGAGACGATCCCTTGTGGTCGGGGCGAGCCAGTTGAAGCCTCGCAAAGTACACCGCAGACGGGCAAAAAGTATGAATTGAGTTAGGGAATGCGCACTAGCCCTGAGCCGGCTTTGCGAGTTCTGCAACCGCATCGCGAGGCGGTCTACAGTAATAAATAAGGCACGTCGATGCGCAACGTATCTGCAGATGGGAAGCTATAAATAAACCACACATAAGGTAAGTGTTACCACCTGCCTAAGAAGGTGGTAATCAAAAGGCTCACCAGCGAGAAGCGAGTACGCTTTGAAACATGTAGACTGATTTCTATTTACAATGTCAACTTGTTCGATAGGCTAATTTATTTTGCTCGATGAAGACTTGTATAGTTTATGTACTATAAAAAATCAACACATTAAAATTTGTAGTTCTTTATGCATAAAATACTTGTTATTACAATGTTGAATTAAACTATTTTAAGAGATGGAAATAATCGAAATCTTGCATAAAAAGTGTTTGATAAGTTAAAAAAACAGATTTATTTTCCAAATCACTGTGGGATCACTACTCTTTAAATGTGTAGAATTTAAAATTCAAAACATGCCGTAATTCTTATCGGCAGAAACTGTTTACAATCTACTGTTATTCAAACGTTTCGTACAATTTGTAGTCTAAAATGTGCAATGAAATAAATATTTAGGCAAATGGACATCAACTTATTTTTCAAACAACTTTCGATTTATGTTATTTAATTTGGCTTAATTTACTTCTTATCGCGCAAACAACACATTCCATGTGTTTCAAACGACCGACAAAAATAAAATAAACGCACGAAGACGAAAAAAAGCCGAACAATCGAAACGTCGCAATAGACGATTAATTCTAAATTACGTCACGTAAGCGATGACTGTGGACCTTATTCCGTCGTGTCTGAATAAACATGTGAAAGCGTACTAGCGCATGACTTCTGGAACAGCCGCCTAGACATATAGTCATAGTCTAGAAACGCGGCCGGCAAATGGGTGGGCTTTCCCCCACAATAAAACGTTGATGATCTGACAACTCTGACATTGCGCACGCTGTCATTAACGCTACAGCAATTGCGCGAATGTATTCGACTTTTACGTAACCGGTCGGCGTTTACAAATCGGTAAACAGTATACTTACTGTAACTAGCGTGTCCGCTTTATTTTTTTAATGTGAGAAAGTGGCAAACGAGCTGGTTGACTTGATGTTAAGTGATAACCTCTGCCCATGGACATTTACAACACCCGTAGGGTTGCAGATGCGTTGCCACCTTTTAATAAAGTGGGCCCCAGCTACCTCACTCATCAGACGAAACGTAGAAGTATGACACTTTCTACAGAAAACTGCTTCTTTATATGCAAAGTACATCCGACTGGGTTTCGTTGACAATTGTTCATAATTTTGTTGTTTCTTTTCAACCTATTCATACATAAATATATGTACACGGACCTGGACATAGAACTTAACATATAATGACAAACACTCTCTACGATTTCTTCAGTTTACGCAAATACAGGTTGCAAAGTATTTGAAACATGGGGGTTTATAACCAACATTAAATGCGAAAAAATCATTTTACTTAACAAGACATAAATACTCCTTAAAAACTGTTTAGTAAAATATATTAAACATACTCATCTAAATTCTAGATCATTTAGTAGTTGTTTAACTCACTTACTTTTAGATACAGAAGTCTAAAGGTTGGTGAAAAAGTTTCGGACAATATCCTCGCCATCAAGTTAATGATATTCTATAAAATAATAATAAAATTCATTTTAGTGCAGTTCACATCAATAATGAAAATATACAACAGAAAGAGAAATGAAGGATTGTTTTTCTTATTAATTATAATACTGGACAATCTAATCGATTTATTAGTTTATAATAATAATTATTTTTAAAGCTTCCAACGATAAAAAATGAACACATTCGAATTCAAGTTTTTTATGGTGACCTTATCATTACTAGTGTATCATCGTGATAATTTTATATCATTTTATCTCAGAGGTGCAGAGTATCACAATGAGCATCCAGACATAACGTCATATCGGCCTTGAAACGATATATAGCTGTCTAGAACAATACCTAAGTATCTAGAACGCTGCGCAAACATAGGCGCTGGTAATTGACACTTTACTAAGTCTCTATACGCAGTGTAGGTACGAGTAATAGAAATAAATAATAATTTTAACATAGAAATTAAATTTCCGATGTTACTTAAAACACGTTATTAATGTGATTTTTGAAATTTACAATTCTATTAGTTAAAGTGTAAGATGAAGTGCGATAAAACCATAATATTGAGATTTTATTTAAGAATCAAATTGTGGATTTTTTTTAACTATTTCATTTGCTTGTCAATCTTGTCAAAATCATCCGATTGACGTCATGCATTGACCATAAATATTATCGTTTCGGATTTATAGCGTTTATTATAAAATATGTTCATGTCGTGAACTTTGCGGCTCGCGTTTTACATACCTAGATCGGCTAGACAGACCTCGTGCAGGCATTAACAGGCGGAGTCGCGGTCGCGTCCGTATTAAAAATTCGTCTGCGCAACGTCTAGACGCGCTCCGCTTACATTGTGACGCGACACCTCAAACACTTGGACGCGAATAAATCTTGCTTACTTGTGGCATACCTACATCGGTCATTTGGCAAAATTTCCGCCATCGAATCATCGTCTGCACATTCGTTCGAGGGAAAAGGCCCGACGCCATGTCATGCTCGACTAAATTACATTTCCCTATATGTACAAGCTCATTCTACAAGCGGACGACTCATATGATTCGATAACGATTCGATAACGCACACTGTGAATTTCCTTTGTCTATTTGCGTTTATTATTTCAATTTCCGACTACCCGAATGGCGTAGTTGGTGGTATAGCTGCCTACTACGCCAGAGGGTGTGGGTTCGATCCCCACAACTGGAAAAATATTGTGTGATGAACATAGTGTTTTTCTAGTGTCCGGGTATTTATATATGTATAATATGTTTTTATTTACAAAGATAAGTATGTTTATCAGTTATTTAGTATCCATAGTACAAGCGTAACATATATATTATCCTACAATAGCATATTAAAATTATGTTGTGTCTTTTTCACACTAATACTGATTGTAAAATCCAAAAACAGGTTTATTTCGTAAAATAGTAGAAATGATTAGAAAGTTCGTTAAACATTAACAAACCACACGGCAATCACATCCAAGTGTCGACGTGTTACAATGCGCTGCATACGTGGCAGTAATTAAGTTTTCTTGTTTGCGCCTTTGCTACCAATTAATCTGCGCTCTTTTACAGAAGACTAGACGTGTTTACCAGTCATCGTTCCCACAGCTCGCCTTGCTTGTTAGCGTGTTTCTGAAAGTGCAAAGATTGTACTAGTGTAGGCTCTCTCCGTAAACTGAATTACGTCAAAATAATTATGATTCCAGGTACAGTAAATGAGTAGTGTGGGTTAAGCAGTAGAAATATTTCATGGTTTAAACACAAGCTTAACAACGTTAAATAAATTGCTCATCAAGTAGTATATAAGTAATGTCCTTATATTTTTGTATAAGTTTTGTCTAAAGGCATATTCATTAATTTGAAGTAATTTTCGTCGTATTAATTAAAGGAACCGAAGTGACCCCGAATGCTCGTGGATGTCAGTTAAAGTTGACGAACTTTCTAACTACGCAGGAAACATTGTTGCAATTTACCTGCAAAAGTATCCATAACACTTTCACTCGAATTGAAATATATCCCAGTCCTAGAACATTGTTCCAACATACAATTAATTCAATATTTTTTTCTTACAAACGTCAATTTTTTTGTAAAACTAGACAATTTCAGTAAACTATTTTTTTCTATAAATAGACAATTTTAAAACTAGACATTTTTCTGGTGAATCGTAACCTCGAACTCACGGGGTATAGACGAGTTATGTCGGACTTGCGCAGATTAAAGGCGATTGAAAGCGGCTTTCGAACTTACGACGTTCTGCTTGCATCATATGAGACAGTCCTTCCTCGGAAATATACATTTCCTCATTCTCTCTCTCTCTCTCTCATCTGCTACCACGTCTCGGCTACTCACCACGAAAATGTGATACCTGATTTTTGAGGAAGGGCAAACTAAATTATTGCCCAAAATTGAACACGTGGCTCCTTATTGCTTTTTATGTAAGAAAATAGTAAACAGGCGAGAAGAACCTGATGTTAAGTGATAGCCGCCACCACATTTACAACACCGTACTAAAAAATGTTTACACATGCGTTGCCACCTTTCAGTAGAGTGAGCCATGGTTACCTCACTCACCAGACGAACGGCAGAAGCAACACTTTCACATCACGCCGATCTTCTGTGAGGTCATGGTACTTCCCCGTAAGGACATGCTGCGTAGCCTTCCCACAGTAAAGCTTTTTATTCAGAAAACGTACGTAAATCCGAACTAGCCTTTTTCACAGGACAGAAAATTTACATTAATATAAAAAGGTTCAAATTTTCGCATAAAGTATTTGCGTATAGGCCTGATCAAAGACCTAACGAAGTTGTCTTTAGTCCGTAAGTCACGGAAGTTGGTGAAACCTAGAAGGTTTCACCAAAAGGTCACCAACTTCCGTGACACCTTTTGAAACAGAAACCTCAAGAAATTAACGTAGAGCCACGCAGCAGCCTCGGCTGTTGCACGAATGGGCAGGCTCGTCCGAGTAAGTACCACGACCTCACAGAAGGCCTGCGTAAAGTGGAAGCATGACAAATACTATCGCGTTTCCTCTGGTGAGTGAGGTAGCCGGAGCCTAATTTCCAAAAAGGTTGTCAATGCATATGCAAACCCTCGGGTGTAACAGATGTCTGGGCGGCGGTATTCACTTAACATCAGGTGAACCGTCTGCTCGTTTGGCAACGTTTCACATAAAAAAAAAATGTAAATATGGGTTATATGGAATTTAATATATTACGATCGCTCGGGTCACTTAGTATTGCTGCCATTCCGGAGTCCACTAAAAATGGTCAATCAAATCTCCACCACAAGTTCTTTGTTATTCTATTCTAGGACTATACGGCTGACGACCACGACCTTTAGGAAAAGGGAGATAGATGTTCATATTGAAATTTATTTAATTCGTTTATTTTCTTACCGTTACGTTATCGGCCTTAAACGATTAATTCTTCAATATTAATTATACCGGACGAGCAATAACTTTAACAATATGAAGTGGTCGGACCCACCACCGGGAGTCTCGCCGGATAACACTCCCACAGTTAGTGCAAAAACAAACACATTAGTCCGCCCTCGCCTCTGAGCATGGAGAGACCAATACAACGCGTACACAAGGTACACCCGCGTTCCGGGGCGGCTCTCACCGCTCCCAGCCACCGATTAGCTAATTGCACAGTCGACGGCCATCGGGGTTTCGGTCCGAACCGCGACCTCGATGGCCCATAGATGACACACCATAGTTAAACGCACGCATGAGCACATGCGTGGCCCTACCCACAGCGGAGGGCACAAACCTGTGGGTTCTGGCTAGACCACCGGTTCTGCGTCAGATGAAGCTGCAAAAATATCAGCTAATACAAGATACAAGATACAAGAATATGAAGTTATATAAAGTTTAAATTAACCTCTCCTATATAGGCTTCTTCCGTCCGAGAAGGCTTCACTGTATAATCTCTGTGAAACAGAGAAAATATTTCAATTGCCATGAAACAATCCTCTAATATTTGCATGGGTAAATTAGAAATCGGGTTACGTTCGATAACAAAATTAGTATTATGCTATAACCGTAGCATTATCCTGAGCTAACTACCTTATGGTCGTCGCATACACTAACTTTGTATTTATTATCATTATTCAATTATGAAAATTATTCATTGTATTTATATGTAAATTAGTTATTTTGTTCTCTTTTTTTATTTTTGTAAACGGTGTTGGTGTACGATCAATAAAGATTTTTCTATTCTATTCTATTCTATTTTATAAAACTTCCATCTGTTTTACGCAATTTTAAAATCAGTTCAGGCGTAATTTTAAAAGGTTGCATCAAATAACCGTTTACTCATATTTATTCTGCGCACATTCAAGTGCGAAAGTAAACAAAACACTGCGCATGCGTCGCTAAACCAGCGGACGTCACGTTCCAGACGCCCCATTCTCTGCACTTATCTGCAGACAAATCTCGATGCTTAATAGCATAATAGTTTTAACAGAGGCTCAGAAAAACTTCACCAAATAAGACCCGCGAATCAAGCACCGAAGTACTATTATGGCTAATGTTGTACCCTCAGGTCGCAGACAGTGCAGTTTATTTGAATGTTTCAAAGTCCTGAAGGCTTCAATTAGGCGCTTGTTACTCGATAATGCTAGACGTGATTTATTTTGAATCACGAATCATTTTGCCCCGCTAATTGGTACGCCGCGTGGCGCGTAGGCGTGTCTCAATAGAAATATTCATCTCGGAGATTTAATTTATGTACAAAACTAGCTGTGGCCCGCGACTACGTTTGCGTAGAATAGGCTGAAGGTGTAACATTAAGACAGAAAGACAGATATACATAAAATATGTATATAAATTATAGCCTATGTCTTATTGTGATGTATTATGATAAGCTATATTATTGTAAGGTTTCATTCAAAATTTAAATTTTTTATAATGCTTATCTCTGCACTTAAGATTGAACATTAAAATTTGTACGTCGACAGTCTTTTCGTACTTTTTCTACAAATTTTAAGTTTCATTAAAATCCATTCAGTGGTATTTGCGTGAAAGAGTAACAAACATCCATCCATACATAAAAACTTTCGCCTTTATAATATTAGTAAGGATTTACAGAGAACTCCTCAAATTCCTACAACAACAAAAAATTTGAACTTTGAACTTTAAAGTACAAAATTGTCTCAATATCTCATTTAGCGTCATACATGTGTATAAACATGCTTATTTAATGAAGCAACTGACGCATCATTTTCGGAACAACGATAATTTAGGTTGCGTCACGGATTTTCGGCGAAAATCGCAACTTATTAAAAATAATGATGCCTGTTTCCTACTCACTTTTGACACTGCGTGGATTTAATTCACATGTTATACCTACTTATTGTCTGGCGGATGGTAGGTATGTAGGGTTGGCAGCGGGCGGTGCACCTTGTGGTGGAACTGGTCGGCGGGGGTGGCGGTGGGTGGGGAGTGCGGGTGCGCGGGGGAGGTCGGGGCTCATCGACCTCGTGGCTGCAGCGGCGCGGGCGCCGCGCAAAAACGCGTCTAACCCAAATTTCGGTAGCCGTCTGGCAATCTCCCGTGGCGGGACGCGGCCGATGCCTCCATATGTATTGCGCACGCGCCATCGTCATTGCGAGAGAGTTGCGCTCGATACCTTCCCCGAATTCAATGCCCATTGAAACTGATTTATTATGGGTCTAGTATTTAACAATACTTGACGAATTTTTAAATGGGTACAGCGCTATAATAGCGATACTTACATTTATGGATAAATATTTCTTATCATATTGCATTACGCACAATTCCGAGTATTAAATTTGCGTAGATCAGTTTTTGACTCAAAGTGATAGTTAAATATTCACCCATTTTTTTTTAAATAGCAAAATGTTAAAACGTATAATATTGAAGCTATGTTAAGTAAAGACGATAGTTCAGTGTGGTTACTAATCTAATCTAAATAAATAAGGTGGTAAGTCTCAAGCTTAGTAATCACAAGAGGATATTTGTTATAAAATAATTATTTTCTTTACATCTGATTACCCTTTTGTATCAAGCTTGAGTTATAACGTAACGATTAATGAATTAATAAGCTGTTTGAGATTAAAGCAACATATAAAGTATACTAGACACAGAAAAAGTTGAAGATTTCATAAATGTAAAACTGTTTTTATTAAAAAATGATATTCTATATCATAAACAATCCACCTACAAACGAGGTGCCTATAATCGCTAACCTTGAACTCATAATGAACCGACACTCGCTTTTGAACCCCAAACAGACTATGTATTATTTGCTGGCCCATTGTGTTGTTATTCGACTAGACTGGTGGGTTACATCAGCGCTTCTGAAACTTCACTGTCTGCGGCCCGGAGCTTATTCAACAATTTGTATACTCAATTTGTTTTTCCCTCAAATAGTTAATGAAGAATAGTAGCTTATTATTTATAGTATTGGAAATTAATTAATAGTATTTCTTTCATTATCCGCGAAGAGTCTATTTTATTGCAGAGAAATTAAATTCTGAAAATTTTACCCTACGGCTAAGCATTCGTTGGTAAGCGTCTTCGATATACAATTAGTTATTGATTATGTGCAATTTATTAACTACTTTTTATTAGTTAAAACCTGTCCAATTCAAGTTAATTTTACACAGCTAAATGTTGATCGTAGCCATTGCTAAGACTCTGTAAGAACAGAGTCTTAGTCAGATTTTTCAAATCGGGCCAGTAGTCCCTGAGATTAGCGAGTTCAAACAAACTCAAGTTTTATAATACTCGTATTAGTATAGATATCCTCTTATCTTTGTCCGTCCCATGCTACAAACTACGCTACTAAAAATAATTCTAGTGCGGTTTAGGTCGATATCAGCTCACCGCTTTCCTTTCCTGGTTCCTGATTCATTTCCTGTTTAACAGATCCAGGGGCACATCGAACCTAAGGAATTTGGGTTCCAGGTTTTCATTCCATTTAACAGATCAAGAACCGTGACAGTAAGCGTGAAATTTTTACAGATTATGTATTTCTTTTGCCGCTATAACGACAAATACTTAAAAACAGAATTAAAAAATATTTAAGTAGCTCACATACAACAGACACGATTTTTACCGTTTTCATAGATAATGGTACGAATCCTTTCATGCGCGAGTCCGACTCGCACTTAGCCGGTTTTTTTAATCTTATTTAAACTTACAATCATCATCACTTTACAGACCATAAAATATATCTATGGTTTCATCCAATTCAACTGTAGCTATTAAATAGCTTTTGATCGCACAAATATTCAATGTGGTAAAAAGGTCTTTAAGATGATATAACTTTTTTATTTATGAACCGATTTAAATAAAACTAACTGATTAAGTGAAGTTGAAGCACTAAATGTTAAGTGAAAGGTGCGTCCATATTGGTGAAGCCGTTTGAGTGATTAGCGTGCACAAACGCACAGACAAAAATTTTAACAATCATTGTTTTGGGGTTCTATTGCGTTGATAAAGGCCCCCAAAAATTTTTTCTAAAATATACATCAGTTACATTTTTATTATATTTAAAGATGAAGACACAATTCAGCACAAAACTACGAATTATGTACTTTGTAAAATCAAAGAGACGACGTATATACTTCACTAGAATTATTATTGCAGTTGATTGATGTAAGGGCTGTTTCTTTACCCAAATTCAGCAATGACGTGCAATTAGCATTTTTGGCGTGATGCCACGTTGGAAAAGTTCATTTGACAACGTGTAACATAGTATTTAATTTTTTATATATTATTTGTTTAATAAATACACGTGAACTCTTGTAATTGGATATTATTATAATGTAAATAAAATATTACATTAATTGCGGGCCTGGGATAGATTGTGCTGACAACTCGTGGAGGCTACTGGGTTACTAGCCGCGAGCTGTGGTCTAGACAGTTGCACTCACTAAATGACCTCCGTAATTATCATCGGCGGAGAGCGGATAATGAAACGGTTTCATATTACGTTCATAGTTCCATGAAAATAATGGAATATTTTTATTTCAGAGTAGATTTCATAAACCATTTTACTCATTTTATAACGCTTAATGGTTTTGAATGCTTAAAATACATGGAAAAGTAGTGTTTTACCACCTTATACCAAATTTAATATGATAAACTGTTACTTTGACGTAATTAATTCAAACCACTTGTAGCCAGCTTACAGTGCCTTAAGATTTTGCACTTTGACTTGTTTGAGTTGGAATAATCTATTTTATTACTTACTATCAACCAACACAAATAAAATCTAAATCATAACAATGACACCATGTCAGTAATGCTTTCTTTTTTCAATCATTTATGTTCATACGGTTCAGATACGGGCGCACCATAGAAGGCCATCGATCGCAAGGGCCCCGCATAAAGGCGGTTGACTTTTCCCCTGGGGTCCCCAAGATTTGGTAGCAGTTTGTGTATAGCACCCAACACCTTCTCGATCTGAGGGTGGTCCAGGTGGTCAAAGTGCCCTTCGAAACTCAAACGACTATCCAGAGTGAGACTGAGATAATTCATCTGGATCTGCACGTCGCCATCACGAGCCGAACAACTGGATGGACATCTATTCGCTTAAATATTAAATTACTGGAACATTGTTATCGATATTTTCATAAAATATATAGCAATAATATCAATTTTGAAAATTTGTATTGAAAAGACAATATCAATTTTGTAATAATTAACGGCTATCTTTCTACGCCAGGGGGACAATTATAAGAATTGAACAATAACGGTCTGCAATGGGTAGTTTCTCATTAATCGAAAAAGGTAAAATAAAAATTTTAAGTAAATTAATTTTTATCATAAAATTAATTAAGAACTAACAAATATCTCTCTCCATCAGGATTCAGTGAGATATTTGTAAGTCCTTATTATCACACACCGGTATTAGTTAATAATACAAAGTTATTATTTTAGGATTGACAAAAACTCAAAATTTAATTTTGTAATAACGCATTCTTTATTACAAATTTTTATTCGTTTATTATTGACTGAATAGTCAATCAATCATATGTTTGAGCTAGTTTTTGAGTCGTCAATACCGCAATGTCTCAAGTCCTACCAGTAATGTGGACACTCACCGTTGGGCTGGTCCACAAATTCAAGGTTGCTCAGCGGGTGATGGAACGCGCAATGCATTGCGTTTCTCATATACGAAACGAAGTTATTCGCCAGAGAACTAAAGTTACCGACATTGTGTGTAGAATTAGCACGCTGAAGTGGAAGTAGGCTGGCCATGTCTCCAGACGTACTGATGGTCACTGGAGCCGACACGTATTAGAGTGGACACCACAGTTAGGAAAACGTAGTGTCGGACGGCCTGCGGCACGATGGACTGCCGATTTAAGAAAGGTGGCGGGAAGCGGATGGATGCGGGCTGCCTAGGACCGGGATAGTTGGCGCACTTTGGGGGAAGTTTACGTTCAGCAGTGGACGACAATAGGCTTATATTATTATTATTATGTTGGGGATATTTATTTGTTTTCTCGCCTGGTTGGGTTTATAGATAAAAAATAAACATATCTTCTTATCTGTTTCGGCTTTCACGAGGTTTTCGTCATATAGAATGGTAATGTCGACCAAAAATATCCGCGACTGTGCCCGGTCCATCAACACAATATCAGGTTTGTTCGCGACAATCGTCCTGTCCGTGATGATGGACCGGTCCCAATAGAGCCTGGCGCGGTCATTTTCGAGCACGGCCTCCGGAGAGTACTTATAATACGGCAGTTTCTATCTTCATTTATTATATATTCATTTAAATTCCCCGAGGCCGTATTTCAGAGCGAGCTCCTGGTGTAGGATTCTGGTTACTAGGTTGTGTCTATGCAGATACTCAGAGTTAGAAAGTATGGAACAACCTGATATAACATGCGAAGCGTCTCCCCGGGATGGCGACAAGCTCGACAGATGTCGACGATGCCATCCCTTAGGATGTATTTCCGATAGTTGTTCGTCTTAATAACCTGATCCTGTATCGCAAAGACAAAACCTTCGGTTTCCCCAAAGAGGTCGCCGAAACGTAGCCAGTTAAGGCAACGGTATCTACGAAAGGCTCGCGCAGAGCCTTGTAGAACTTCCCGTGGAGCTTTTTCTCCTTCCATACGGTCTCTAGGTCGGAAACGCTCAGTACTCCCGGGTCCTGTCATTGCTCGCTGGCTAATCACTCATCCACACATATGTTTTGTGACATACTCAGGTATCGGTATGTTTCATCCTTAGTGAGGGTTCTTATGTTTACGGGCGTAGATAAACCGATGCCCTACGTGTTAGTTACATTACCCCTTCCGACATGGAGAACCGCACACTTATCCGTCCCGAGCTCCATTTTGATAGAATTCCTGAAATCACAAGTTACTTTAAGCAATTCCATCAAATGGGCGGTGAATAATTTGAGGTCAACCTTGTAGAAAAGGTGGGTCACCTTTTTCCCTTCTCTCCGAAGCTGAAATCCTCCTCCTGAGCCCTCCAGTAACACGCTGAGAGGGTTCAGGGATAGGCAAAACCATATTGGCCTCAAACAGTCGCCCTGGAAAATACCCCATTGTATCCTTATCCGGTATTCTGCAGCCGTCATCCACTCGCCTAGATGACAAAGGGTCATACTCCATTACCCCATACAGTGCCCGAGGAAGTTTCTTACTCTGCAGTCTACTTT